AGTCATGGTTCACGGGCCCCCAATCCATAAACAAGTGCAACGATTTGCCCAAGCCATATTCGGTGGTAAGACTCTATTTGGCCAAAGCACGTCGCCACTTGGGGAACGGACAGGCCACCACGTCATCGTACGCCAACATCTGAAGGCCAGGTGGTCGAGCAGTCATCGCGTCCGAGTCCACTTTGCGTGATAAAGGTTCAGGAGGTCAGAGCCCGCATGCCGTTCAATAACCTATCAACACACAAGAAGGCAATTAACGTTAATTGTTGCTGTATGTTTGCAGTGATGACTGTATCCTATAAATACTGCATACAACTGTGCTACTGCTCTCAGACTATGTCTCTGATGATGAATCCGCCACGGATCTCGAAACATCAGACGAATAAAATGATTGTCCCAGCGATCGAGTCGTTTTCTTCTCAAAATACGGCTTATCAAACGACCGTGTTCGATATCTGCTCATCAGACCACTGTACTTTCATGACTACGAGGCAGTCTGCATACAATGCAATGAGAGTAAACTGAATATATCGATAGAAATTGGTTGTGCTTTGGCAGATCAGGCGCATGATTCGATCGGGATGTTAGAGGACGGCAGAGCAGAACACGCCACATTTTGTGGGTGGCTTCGAATGGGCTTTTGCGGGGCCATGGCAAACCTAGAACTTGTGCGCAATTCTTTGTCATACTGACTTTCTTACTACCACACGTCCTTTACTGTCTACTTTATGTTGTCTACTGACGGGGGTTTGAGAGATAAAAAAGGCGAGTCCCCGAATGAACCTCTTCATTCGGCCTCTCAGAGCTACACGATATCGAACGAGTTCGTCGTATTGATTCGACTCCTGCCGGTCCTGGAACACTGATGCGCTGGTCGTAGATTACCGTATTTTCTGCACTAAAGGGCGTACTGGGTAATAAGGCGCACTATCAATGAATGGTTTATTTTCGAACTTTTTATAATTTAAAGCTCACTGGACTATAAGGCGCAGTAAGGTAAACAAAGTAATCAGTCGGTCAACCTTTGTTGAACGCATTCACAATTACTCTCAACATTATTCAAATGGATGGAGCGATTACGTCTTTTCATACAACAAAAGCAACACCAAAAAGGACCGTCTCGAACGTCATCACTATTCACGTCTCGTGCTAACGTTGTTGCCGTCATCCGTGTTGTAGATGTGGCCAAAGCTGCGATACCACCGTCTACGTTACGCCTCGTGTGAGCCCCCAAGGAAGAGCGCAAAAGTAGAAATCCTAGAGCAAACGTAATACAGCATAATTAAGGCAAGCGAACGCGTGTCCAGCCATGTCCGATTGGACCAATCAGATTGTGGGTTCAAGTAAGGGAGTGGCTTCATTAGCTTTTTGACTCATGCAGTTGGCGTGTTAGAGTCCTTAACTTGGGCACAGCTACACGCGTCATCACGTGCACTGTGTGTGGGCGGACTGGTTGTTTGTCATGGGAACGACTCGTCAGGGCGGCGTGCACTCGCACTTAAGCAGGGCCCTAACAATCCCGATAGATAGCGACGCTTCTATCTGCTGCTCTCTGTTCAGTAACCCACTGTTCAATTTTGCCCACTTACTGTGGCTATCTCTCTTTTATACCTCGGAAAATGTGTTCGGTTTACTTTACTTGACGCAGGTCATCTTGCTTCCTCCACTTCAGTAGCTGTGAATTATTAATGTTTAATTCCCTATCAGCTGCTCTTTTTCCATGTTGTACTGCGTGATTGATAGCCTGGAGTTATAATTTTGCGTCGTAAACGTGTCCCTTGACAGTTGCCCTTTTGGGGTGTGTGCGTCTACACACTGTAATATTATGGTGAAGCACGGTATATATTATCCCACGATGGATATACGCAGCGCCGCACAGTTTCGCACAAAATGGCCTCGAGGTCAGTAACCAGAATTAATTAATATATAAGGTGCTCTGGGTTGCAAGGCGCACTGCCATTTTCTGATGAAATTAAAGGCTTTTAGGTGAGCCTTATAGTCCGGAAAATATGGTAGCTGGTTCTTGCGCACAAACTCACGGAGGAAAATTCTCGAATGTTCGGCTGACGCTCGTCAGTGAGGGCATCACGCTCGCTCCATGATGCAGCAGCAGACGCCTACTGGTTAAGCGCGCATTTCACAGCCGGTTTGACTTCTCATGCAATGCGTGGTTGTGTCCTCCCCTCGCTCTAGCTGGTGACCTCATTCGGTTTGCGTCCTCGACACAAAATCTTAAAGTACTTTTCCCGTTACTTTTCGTCCACGGTAACGTCTTTCTACCCTTCTTCAGCAAAATACAGGCCTCCCTGTTGATCTAGTCCTTGTTAGGAGCTGGCATAATCCTGTGAGAACTAGGCTGGTTAGTTAGTTTTGTTGGGGCAAATGTGTATGACTTCAGGCGTTAATGTCAGCACCGCGTGAGGAAAACCAGTCATATTTATTTTATTGGACCTAACAGTTCTCTGTATTTTTGTTCCCTTCTAGGTGCCCAATCTGAGTGAGATACAGTCACGTCTGGCGTACATCTCCTGTATACGACAGCTCGAGGAGGTGAAACGCAGTGGTATCTGCTATTACCTGCGTCCGCCAATCGACAAGTACATGACCTTGCAGTTCTCGGCTTTCGAGGAAATTGTGGTAAGTGATCGTCCCTCCCCCCCGTCAACCCCCTCTCGTTTTCTGATGAGCTCCACTCACTCCCACACCAGAAGACGGGTTGTTAAACCTACCCGTGTTTGAGACTTCCCGTCACTAATTGTCAGACGGGGGGTTTGAACTAGTACACGGGCGAGGAAATGGAAAGTGCGGTCGACATTGGCGTGCTAAAACCCATCACAGTGCGCCAGCAGTCGCGGCTTAGAAAGCTGCCACCAGATGACCAGATATCTCGATCCGCGCGTGGGGGTACTTTTTAATTATGGTGGGGCTAAGCGTCAGGCTGCTATGATTCTTTGTTAAATTGGCCTCTGTGGCATTCTCACACATGTGAGCTGTGGGTTTCATCAGCGGGAACGTATAGTTACAAGCTGTGGAGTCGAGGCGACGTGATGGCTTTGAAAAGCACCAGACACCTTGATCCTTATGGGCATGGAGTTATGGCAGAAGACGGATTGTTAAACCTATCTGGGTTTTAGACCTCCCGTCACTAGTTGCGAGAGTAGGATTTGAACTGGTACACGGGAGGGGAAATGGAAAGTGCGGCCGACACTGGTACATCACCACATACATTATTATACTATAACTAACGAGCTAAAATTCTTCGCCGGGCGCTAAGAGTCGCGACTGGGTTGGCTGTCAACTAATGCAATTACTGCAGGACTGTGAGTCAGGTTGCGATGAATCCTGTTGTATACGTTACAGGCAATATTAATAAATTGAGAAGTACAGTGTACTATGGATGAAAATTTCACGGTCGTAGAAAAAACCTTATAATTAGGAACTGTTTTAAAACCGGAAAAAAAAATACAATTTCTTGAAGTATAAAATCTGAGGAAGGCGTAATTTGCTATAAGACGTCTACAGGAAGGTATATTTTTTTCTGCATACCTTATATAGACTTTATTCGAACTTATAAGGGTATTTAAAATAAATAAGAAAACTGTGTAATAGTTAAGCAGTCATGTTTCACAGGGCGTGCGTTTCACAGACTGTCAGAAAAAGCTCGTTAAACAGCCGGCCTCCTGACTGAACTGAAATATATATCTTAAGTGTAGACTGCAAGGTGACCCATTTTTACAACCCTTCCTAGGCAATTTGTTGGAATCGAAGAGAATATTTCGGACTTTTGGTTGGTGTTTTATGAGGTACGGTATCTACTGTATGTCCTGCACCTGAGCATGTATCACATTTGGTAACGGAGAGTGTGAGCTTGTATTTTGACGTTTATCCCTGTAACAGCCCAACTTGTACATGTATCATGAGTGCCGCGATGATAAGGCCAAGGCCAAGAAAGGAGGGAGTCAGTAGACCGAGGTTTATTATCCCTAGATATCGCTGAGTAGTAGCAGCACCTACTCACGATGACAAGGCATTTTCCAACTGATGACCGAGTACGTCTCCGCTGTTGGCTGCTTATCATCAAAGCTAGATCAAGTTTTTTTTATATTGCAGTTTTGTGTGTCTGCGTTTCGTAGACGGTAGACAGTAACGAGAGCCAGACGGCGGGCTCGCGGCAGGCGTTTCTGCCGAGTCTGCGCGCGAGATCAGATGTGCATGGGTATGGTGGCATGCCTTAGACTTGAACCTTGCCGCTGCATCAGCCATCCATCCATCCCATGAGCAGGTGGTCAACAGGGCCCGACGCGGGGAAATCCAGCCCCACAGCACATCAGCGTACTCCTCACTATAACGGGCAGTGCTGAGAA